GTTTCTACTATGAGAGCAGTGACTATTCTAGGAGAAACTGAATGTCTGTACGTGACTCTAGTTTCTGTTCATCTTGGTTTACTTAATAACGTATTAAGTAATCATTGGCGTACCTTCTCTCATAATTAATGTATGTTTTGTAAAAGGTTGCATACACTTAGAAGTGAAGGAGATTAAAAACCAATGAAGCATAATAATATTGCAACTTGTAACATTTTATGTAAATGGCTTGATTATAGTAACTTGCATGAAAATACTGAAGAGACTTGCTTTGCCTAAACATAGCATTAACTCCAGATCTCAAATTCCCGTGGTTAAGGACAGACTGTTCTATGCATCAAGCTTGTTGAGGAGGCTCATTTAATATTCAGGTTATAATACGTAAATCTAATAGGGCTGTGTGAGGCTTCAGACCCTGCTTCGGATCCGGAGAAGCTTCGAACGCTTCGGCCGGATCAAAGCTAGAGCCCGGTCCAGAGCTCTGGACTGGATCCCTGGCATCTGAAGTGGCTGGATGCGAAGCTGGATCAAATAGCTGCCTACTTGCACAGGCCTAAAATGTAATAGTAACTGTTCCTAAAATAGGGCTTTAAAATCCACCAGAATTCTGGCGTACCAGTTTATTTTATTGGCTGGAAGCTTCTTCCTCATTTTCTTTGGTTAGGAGTGACTTAGATCCTAGTTTAGTATGACTGCCAAAATAGATTTGTAGCTCTGAGCCTATAAAACTCCTCTATGTTGTAGGGGACCAACAGGTGCCATTCCCCCAAAAGACTTAAATGAGGTTTGTTAACTTTGCAGATTACTGAACAGTGTAACTCGTTGTAACTGGGCTGTCTGGAAACTTTTTCCTCTCTTACTACTTTTGCTGTAGTTAAAGGGTTAACTTCAGAACTATTGTATGCATCTCAATATTGGATGTAGTTCCACTGGGTTGAAAATTGATTATTGATTTAATGTAGTAAACAAACTTTACCTAAAGTGTCAAGATTATACCAAAACTTGGTATGAGAGGTGCATTTGGTATTTTTTGCATTAGGCAGTAAATATTATTTGATTTTTCTCAGGTTGGCTGTGAAGGAAACCAGCCTCTCATCTTGGGACTGGAATGTTGTTAATGGGGATACCAGTCTTAGAAAGGTTGTAAATGGGTCTAGAGAAACCGGATTGGAGTATTGTAGCCATGATGGTAGGAAATATGCAAAATGCAAAACTATTTTGGAGATACTTTTTTTTTCCTGAGCACAAAAAACGTATTTTACATCTCTCTCTCTATATAGAGAGACTATAAAACTATATATAGTTTTTCCTGTAAAAGTCCCCAAAACAAAGCAAATGAGAAAAAAACCCTTACTCTTCTCTGTGGAAACTGATAATTTTGGCATACATTAGTAAGACTTTTAATGACGTCTCAAGTTTAGATAGAAATAGTGATAACTCCCACAACATCCTCCTCCTGGTCTGTTTCAGTGTATGCCTCCCAGATCTTGGAACCTTTAGTGTCATCCAGCTTGACAAGGAATCATGTAATTCTCATAGGGGATTCGGGCTACAGTCCCATTTTATCAGCTGTTGTTACCTTAGTTTTGGATGTAGGTCCAGACCTTGCAATTTGGAAACAATGGCAGTGGTAACCAATAACTAGATAGACAAGTGTTTATTGGAACCAAATCTTTTGGGAGCAGGGTGGGGAAACCTATCAAATGTCTCACTTGCTTGTCACTTGTCCTTTCTGTGAGATTTTCGTAGGTCCCTCTCCTTTCTTTCTATATTGGGTAACTTGTTTCTCAGATAAAGAACGTTTCCCCTCTGCTTGAAGGAGTCATTATCAGTATTGTTCAGTCCTTTTGTATCTGCAATTAATAAGAATCATATCACCTTATTAACTATTTTAGTCCTTTGTTCTGGAAACTCTTAGCTTTGATAAAATGAAGCCTTTTAACTTGTTGGTAGGAGGAGGTAAGATACCCTCAGGCTAGGAACAGAAGTTGCACATAAACCAGTTTAAGTGATCAGGAACCAGTTTAAACCTGTAACAGAACAGAAGTTCAGTGCACATAAACCAGTTTGAATGTAGTATCAGACTTAACTGATTTAGGACAAACCAGTTTATGGGACTTCTGTCCCAGATCCCCTCCTGATTCAAATTAACTCACAGACCTCCAGTATCCCAGGATGCTGTGTAGCCCTGGGCTGTGCTCTCTGCTCCAATGGAGCAGGGCTGGCCAGGCCTCCAGCTGCCATCAGGAACTTTTCCATTCCTGGCAGCCAGAAGCCAGGTGGATTCCCCCGGCCCCACCCCCTCCTTGGCTGAGGGTATTGACCCAGCTCCCAGCTGGGGTGGGGGAGTAAAGCCCCCACTGTGGACTTCCCCCTTTGCTGGGTACAATGTATAGGGAGAGTGTTCCCCTCCGTCCCACTCCCTTCTCAGCTGGCCACCAGCCAGGGAGCGGGCATGGCCAGGGAATTGCCTCAGCTCCGAGCTTGGGTAAGAGGAGTGCCAGTGTGGGCTTCACCACTGCCCCTTGTGCCAGGCACAGTTGGATGGGGGTGGGAGAGGGAGCGGGAGGAGGTTGCCATTTTTCCTCCCCAGTCCCTTCTTAGCCAGCCTGCCGGCTGGGGAGGCAGTCACCAGCAAAATGCACCCCCGGTTTTGGATCCCCAGCCAGGCTGTGCCCATCACAGGGGGTGGGAGCCCCATGGGGGGGGGGGGG